CTGAACCGCACTTCTCTTCCATTACATCCTACACGAAAAAAAAGTAAGCAACAAGTGTCAATGTTCGAGGTTGGGGTCAAGCACAAGCACATCTAAAAAAGCTCGGGAAAAAGATAAAGGAAAATGATCATATTACCGAGCCAGTGAGTTCAGTTACTTCAGCAGGGCCGGCATTTGCTTCGAGCAGTTCCAAAGCAAAGGATTCTATAGCTGACGCACTTCTAGCGCCCTCGTAAGGAATAGGGCTGTTTTTGTCTGAGCCGAACACCAAGATCGTGGGGAATCCTTGTACCTTGAATCTGCTCATTAGAGACTGCCATAGATAAAACGGCTTTCTAAGAACTCATCAGATGGAAAAATTGAGAAAAAGGGAAGAGTTTGAAGTTGGAAGACAATGATGTAGCAGCTGAAACAGAATTCATGTTATAGATGTAAATGACTTCAGAGATATCAGACTTAAACATTAATGTCCATCCATGGCAGTGAACTTAACTAATAGCCAGCCACTCAACAACGATGATTTTCTCGGTTTAATGTTGTACGTGGTATTTACCTGCTCAGCATCGCAATTTACATGACCCAAGTTCACCTTCCCCTTCAAGTTCTTTGCAGCCTTTTTCCACTCAGGAGCAAGCTTTTTGCAGTGTCCACACCTAAGCAGAAACAAGAAAACAAAATTTTGATGCTTTTCATCTTCAGCTTCAACAATGGATGTTATTGAGTAAATACTTTGTGGTTTACACCCATCTGGTCTTTCTCATGGACACGTTAAATTTAGCAACCAATGGTGATGAAAAGTTAAATCAGGCAATGTGTTTCCAAATTTACAGATCATTCGGTATGAACAGTTCATGGGATTGAAAAAAAAAGGCATAACTTACCAAGGTGCAAAGAACTCCACAATCCAGAGATCTTTGCTTTTGATAACCGACTCGTCAAAGTTGCTAGAGTTCAATTCCACAGAAGCATTGGGCTCAGATTTCTTCTCACTGGATCCTCCTCCAGTTGCTTTGCCATGCAACCGATCCTTCAAAAGAGCCTTTATCTGCAATATGTGATGAATAATAGTAAAAATCCATTAACAAGAGCAGGACTACAATATTTTTCTATTAAGAATGTTATCTATGCATACAAACCCACGTGGAAAAAATCGGCATTTCACAGCTTCAAAAAGGAAAAAAACAAAGTATATTATAAAGACACGACATAGGAAAAAGGAGACATATACAAAAGACTTCAATGAAGGTGAGCTCTATTCACTCTGGTGTGGAAATCCATCAGTAGAGGCCCTAACTTCATGGAAAAACACCACTACATGCTCACAATCTTGTAATAGAATAATTAAATATGGAACCATTAATCAATAAATGTACCGTGACAAACCTGCTGGAGGGCAAATTCGGCAATAGGTTTGGCTTCCCTTGCTCCTTGGTAATCAACTGGAGCCTTTCCAGGAACAAAGACCTTAATCGTTGGGAAACCCCTAATACCATACTCCTGGAGCAGATACGGCGTTTTCATCAGCGGGATTATACATAACAGATTCCCCTCTTTACTTACATAAAAGTTGTTCGAAATATATGGAAATCTGAGAAAGGAAAGAAGTTTAGCATGAGAAGACTTGAGATAAACATTACAAAACCTGAGCAACAGACTTGTGAGCATCTGCATCAATGGCAGCCACAGTAGCAACACCTTTCAGGATATTAGCCACCTTCTCCCATGTTGGTGTTAGAGCTTGACAGTGACCACACCATGGTGCAAAGAACTCAACTAACACAACCCCATTTGAATTAAGAACCTGCCACCATTTCCAACACATTTTCTTATTGACATGAATCACCAAGAACAAAATCCAGGCAGAATGCTTAACACTTTATAACCAACTACAGAGTCACAGACTCATAGAATAGAAATCCTCAGTCCTTAAAACTTAATCATTGATCATGCTACTCAGAAATAGAAATTTCAATCCACCATCATCGAAGAAAACAAGGCATCACATGAAACAAAACAATGTTAAGGAAAAAGCGATCCAGACATCCCATGCAGTCGCAGAACGGTGGAATTTGTTCATGTTTATCCAAAATGTTAATTATTTACAATACCCACGAAGTGGATCATTCAGACCGCATCGGGAGTATATGCCAAACCGGATCTGCGTAAGCAAAACGAATAAGAGAAAATCCAGATCGTACTGTGTTACAGGATCATCGTCAAGGACGAAGCCGGGCCCAACGAACGGATATGCTTTCGATTTTCCCAGAGAAAAAACAACACCTTTCTTTCTGGGAAACCAAACAAGTAACGATAAACCTAGAGGGAGAGAGCGAGCGAGAGAGACACGGCGATGCATCGATCACGGTCGTACCTTGGACTTGAAGTTCGTCGGAGTGAGCTGAAGCACAGGCGACGAAGGCCCATAAAGGGCATTGCCCAGATCGAAGAATGCAAAAGACAAAGAGAGAAGCGTGAGCCACGTCAATGGCGATTTGTACAACATCTTCCCCCTCTTTCTCCTCACACTTACTTTCTCAAGAAAATTTCTCCAGAAACCCTCCCTCGAGACTGCGAAGCAGCAGAATTAAAAACACCGGCTCATCGGAGTTACGTGTGTCAACCAATAATATTATTACACGTCAGCTCACGTCCTGCTCTCTCAAAAAAAAATTTTTTTTTTTAGAATGAACGACTTCGATTGGAAATATGCAGTCACTTGTGTTACAATCTCTTTCTAAAGACGAGTCTTTGAGAAGTATATGTTTTATCATTATTACCAAAACTTTCTGCAGGAAAATATGGGGACAAGAACACAATGCAACTTCACAAATAGTGGGCTGATTTTTCTCGTCCCATGTTCATATGAGCAGGGTCTGTTCCTCTGATTCTTGAACAAGAACATAACTCATCCTTTTGCGATCTTGAATCATAATATAAATATGTTTTCTGTATCAAATCAGCCTCCACTTCGACCAAACAAAACTGGAACAAGTAAGAAAGTTCGGCTCTTTTCCAACAATGTCACTGATGATTTCAACCAGAGGCTGCAAATAGATGTGGCTAAACTCAAAACGCAACTTCATGATTGATCACTGCAACAAAGAAGAGAGAAACCCCAAAATCTTTGTGGGTAAACGAAAAAACCAATATTCTCTTACACGATATTCAATGAAGCAGAGAATGCAGTAAACCAGTAAAAGGCCATCATCTCTTTCCATGTTTCGGTCAGGAATAATCTAATGGCGTCCTGAACAGCAAGAAGTGGTTACCTTTGTATCTTGAACAGGTACTAGATAAGGTTCTGTGTTTTCCCAGGTGTCTTGAGATCATTTTCGGAAGTTCTGTGTCTCCGGAAAGGCCGCTTGAGGAGCTTTGATGGCCAACCTCGGGGTTTTATTCTCCCGAGTAATTGCCAGCTCCTCGGTTTTAGCTGACCCGCTAATCTCAATTGCTCCCTTCTATATTTCCTATTTGCATACCACATCCCGCCTCGCCAACCCAATCCATACCTGAAAATCCCCGAAAAAGAAACACGGATTTTCATCAACATCATTGACCTATTTGCTAAATTATCAGAAAAACAACTGTGAACATATATGTCCTGTGGAGTAGTTGTAACATAAAACCTTTGGTTTTAAACATGGAAAGAAAGAGAGTTGGGACAAACCCTATGATTAAAGTGGTTCCAGCGGTAGCGATTGTAAAAGCAGTCCTGGAACCCGCTGGATCAACAAGCTTCTTCAGTTCTCCTCTTTCGAGATCATGGTTGTTTTTCATCTGCCTCAATGAAAACAAAGTTTCAGATACCCAAAAAACCGGATGCAGGGCAAAGAAGAAACAATAGAGCGATCGAGATATCATCTTAATGGATACAACAGAAACTAACAACACGGGTAAAGATTAATCGGGAGATTCCAAAGGAATTCAAGAACGAGACTATAATAGAATAAACCTACAGAGACAAACTATGTTCATGACAAATTGTCGATCACCAGTTATTTGAATCCCAATTCGTAAGCAGCTCATTCACATAGTTTCAGGGATCATTTTGATGACAAAAGTCGTTAGAATTCATACAAGGGCCAGCTAAGGCAACTACAGCAAAACAAACATGATCCAAGTAGGGCATAGATTAAGAAAAAATGAAATAGACACTCACCGCATTTTCAATTGATTGAAGCCTTTGATCGATTTTAGATTCATGATAATGGCGTATTGAGTAACCTGCGCAGTCATGTATCAATGGCAACAGCTCAGTCGCTGAATGATTTTGAAGTCGGTATAATCAGAAGAAAAACCAATTTGACGCCTTTCTCGTGCTGGACAACAATCTCTTACATTCGGACAGATAAAAGTTCCAGACAAATCATATAGGAAATTCGAAGTTAAGGTTTCAGCCACATAGGAAGTCAAAGATAACTATTTTTAAACCATTCCGATGCAAGAACAGACTAGACATCCAAAACCTAGAACCCGAGAAAAGCTTCAACCAAATGTGAAAAATGTATGATATAAGTTATCAATCAAGCAACAGGAGAATCAACCACAAGACCGATTCAACAGATTCAAGATTTGAATCTTTTGCAAAAGCCAATGACTTTCAGAGATTCATAACCGAAAAGAACTCGAGAGAGAAATAAGTAAAGATCGGATTGCAACTCACCTGCCCAAGCTGTAGCAACTGATGCTATAGAAGTTCCGATTGTAAAGACGGCTCTGTGGCTCTCGAATAACGCCTAAGATATGAACCAAAACCTATTAATCAGTAGATAAAACAGAAAAATTACGAAAACCCAGAAGAATAATCCCTACCCAGTTCCTCGAAATCAACAATCACCTCGAAAAATCTAAAATTTATCAATACCAACGAGAAAACAGATTCGGAAAAAATGAAGAAAACCCTAGCACCTTGGTCGAGAGATACGAATCCTGGATTGCAGCCCATGAATTTAGGGTTTTTTTCTTCAGCTGAGGCACAATTGCGAAACCCAGAAGCGACGTCCCTCTGCTTCGCAGTCGCTGCATTTTCACGTCACAGAGGTGTCAAAACTCGGTGTGAGTCGACTCGAGCGAGTCGACCGTTTCGCTTGCTATTTGGAGAATCTTCGAGAAAACGCAACGGGGATCGTCTTCCCCACGCAAAGGACGAAACTCGACCCAAAGTTTTCTCCGGCAAAACTCCCTTCCAACTTTTTTCCCCTCTCGATACCATAAAACCACAGTTTACCAAAAAAAAAAAAAAGAAAGCATAAAGCTTTATTATTATAAATTACTAATACCTTCATACTTAAGACGGGGGCAGTTTAGTCATCCAAATTTAGTGGATTTGCATCTTGTGATCTGAGCAATTAATTAGATTAGATATTTTGATGATGCCTTTTAAATTCAACGATTTGAGTTTATAATTTATTCTTCAAATCAGTGTTATGCTTTGGTTAAGAAACCAACACAAGTCTTGTTGGAGACATGAACACAAAATGGGTAAGAAGATGACAAGAAATATAAATGTCAATTTCTCTCTTTCCTCCGAGGTAGAGTTTATTAACCAAGTCGAAACAAGAATAAAAACTTTCAACCCTCCTTTTTTTGTTCTCTCTTCCTATCCGTGTGAGCCGAGGCAATCTCCAAAATCCCAAAAATGGAGAACCCATTTCATTTTTCACCCCCCTTCCTTCCAAAAAACAACAATAGAGATCATGCACATCTCAAGAAACCCTAATCGGAGATTCCACCACATTGCTGATTCTGATGCTGGTGATCGTTGGTCAAGGCAGAATTTTCAGATGAAACCTCCACTTCTGAGTTAACATGTTCAGGGTTAATGCCCGGTTTCTCAGCCTCTGAGCTCTGGTTCGTCTCAGCGGGTTTCACTTCAGACAGGGGAGGCGAATCAGAGCCATTTGGAGGCGAGATCCTAAGACGAGTTGAGACTGGTGAAGCATAAGTTGCAGGCGAAGGAGACATGGTCAAGGCCATGTTATAAGGGTATGGTGGCAAAGAGTGGTCAAATTTGCAGTTTGGTCCAAACTTGCAGAATCCATAGGCCATGAAGTTAGTACATGCCGGTTGCCCCTACAGACAACACGAGTAGAACAGAGAAAATCTCAACTACAGAATTCTGCATCATAATGACTATTAAAATAGGTTTTAAGACTAAGATATGATTTTATGGGTAAACACTAAGGCTAAGATATAAAAAACTATAGCTTTTATTATTAAGATTAACAAAAGAATCTTCTATTAGCCCATCCAATTCTAAGGTACTTAATTCCAGGTACACACTATAGTTTCTAACATAAAGTTATGGTTTTCCTCTTTTTGTTCCCATGAGGTCTATTTTTATTGGTAAAATCAGAATAAGATGGTGTAAGGTCTTAGCTGCAATAAGAGAGAGAGAGAGACAGAGAGAGAGAGCAACTTACAGGTCTAGATGGGAGAACAACAGGGCTTAAGAGATTTTGTGGAGATTGTGAATTCCTTTCTTTAGGATGGTTATATTTGCAGTCATCTCCATATTTACATGTTCCAGTGCTCATAAAATACCGACATTCTGGCTGGTCAAGTCTTCCAGCCAAACCCTGGTTCGACGTCACAGCCACAGGCACTGATGCACTAGAACTCGAGTCAGGTTGATCCTTCACATTGTATATCTGGTTAGGTGCAGCCTGTCCCAAAAGAAAACACAAGAAATGCCATGACTACAAACTCATTACATATAATGTGAATCATCCAACATGTTTCCAGCCTGTAGATGTACCCATTGTGCGCTCTAGTTTATAACAACCCAGAAACCAGGTTTCTACTTCAACCACAGAACAAGATAATTAGACTCACAGTGTAAGTAGTCCAGCCTTGGGGAGGTAAAATGCCATGAGAGGGGGAAACCATGACAGGAACATAGGCCTGAGGAACTTGTGCACGTGGTACTGCTCCATAAGTTGCAGGTGGCATAGACACCATTGTCATGCCGCCAAGGTAGGGCAAACCTACAGAAGAATAGCTAGAAACTCCGTATGCAGCAGAAGGTCCATTAACAGGTTGAGGATGATGAAACTTGCAAGCAACTCCGAATCTGCATGTTCCGGTCCGGAGGTAATATGGGCACGATTTCTCACCCTGAAAAAGAGGTTCAATAAGGTTTCTCTTACAGTCAAAATCAAAAACAAAAAATTAAAAATAAAATTACCTGACGCATAGGAAAACCAAGAACATTGAACAACACAGGTCCAGCTCCATTCCTGTCCTTTGGATGATGATATTTACACGTATGGCCATACTTGCAGGTTCCTGTCTTCAGAAAATACTGCAACCAATGTAGAAAAAGGAAAAAACCCTAGCTTGGCAAACGCTTTCGAGGGAAGAACACGAAACGGTACATTACACTAACCAAGCTTATATAGAGCTCTGTGAATGTAAAACACATATACTAAATCCATAATCTATCACAAGCTTAGACCAGAAAAAGCAACTAAAACTTCTCAGATGAACAAGAGAAAGAAGATTATAAGAAAAATTCAAGAAATGCACCTCACAGTCCGGCTGTCCAACTCTCTCAGGGAGATCATCTTTGTAATAAATAACAGCCTGTGAAGATTTTACAGAACTGTTAAGCCAAAGCAAAACAAGGACAGCCATGGAAACAGCAACTCCAATTTGAGATTTCTAGTGTCTGACCTGAGAAACATAAGGAGGATGATTGTAACGGCAGTTGTTGCCATAGCCACACAACCCAGTTCTCAGATAGAACGGGCAATCTCGTTGGCCGGGACGATCAGGATACAGACCGGATTGAACATCACCTTCTCCATTCAACTTTATCCGCCTAAAGGAATCTGAAAAAACATATAATAGGAAACCCGAAAAACAGATCATTGAGATGATTATCATTATCTAAACACGATGAAGCACCAGAAATTGGAAGACTTGAATCAAAATTAGGTAAAACCCATTGCAGAAATCCGTGAAAAGCTATCAAATTCTGGGGTTTTCGAGTTAAAGCGAGTGCAGAACATATGCGGTGGAGAAACTGATCCCTGTTCAATAATTCCGGAGTCGTCTTAAGAGCTAATGATCTCAAGTTCGAACACGACAAGAACACAATGGATCAAACACGAGTAACATGGGACATGTTCATATTAGCTCCGAGTTTCTGAAACGTCGAAAAGGTTTAAAAAAAAAATCTAGGAAAGAAGGGCAAACACAATGAGACTTTGAAACCGTTGATCAACACAAAACATACGATCTTCGAACGCATTATCGAAACCAAAATCGATCATTTGTTCTTTCATGAAAACTGAACGCGCACAATTGGAAACTAACCTTCGATTTTCTCGGAAGATCGATTCGACCCAATAGAGCTCTGATCATGCTGAGTTTCTGACATGGGTCGCATAGCAAATAGGAAAACAGTCACAAAGACAAACTTTTTGTTTTGTCGTTTATCTTCCGGAAAACCACGGACAAATCGTATGAATTTGCGAGGAAACGATGACGACAATGATCAAACAAAGAAGAGAAAAAATCACAGGTAGATTGTGGTTATCATATATGGAAACGGATTTTTCCCCCTCTCTCTCAGTAACCGGAAACCGATGAAGAATAAAGACGAAGAAAACGGTGAAAATCTAAGATTTTTAACTTTCCTTTTTTCCCAACAGAGGTTTCTCGTTTACAACAAATCAAAAAGGAAAATCCCTGCCAATATATTCCAATTGGATTTAATTTTCCTTCTTCTCGCCCTCCTCTCCCTGCCTTTTTTTTCCCAGAATCTGAGAATTTCCTGGAAAATTTTCGGATCTTCCTTTTTTTCTTTTGGCCCTTTTCTCCCCCGATGTTTGTGTTTCAATGTGAAAAATGGAAAAAGAGAGTTTAAATAAAAACAAAAATTAAATAACTGTGCAGAGTGAGAGAGTCTTTGCCCCCTCGTGTACGGATGAATAAATTCTGCTTGCTTTACGAAATGACAATATTACCCCTACTGTCTCATCAAATGGCATGCGCGTGAACTGATCTCTCATGTGAGATGGCTCCACCTGGACCGTCGGATCAGGGACTTCGTAGGACATTTTTCTCTCTCTCCAAATTCGTCTAATTAATTAATGTGCTATATTTTCGCACCTAATTTAAATGCATAATATTCGTGTATCAATTTAAAATTAAATACTTACAACCGATGCGTGGACCATCACCTTAACTAAACTTAATTAATATTGCAATCTGTATACATTTTTTTTTTTGCAAATTTATAATTTCTAAGTTCAATGCATTTTTTGACTTTGTAGCTTGTTGTCAACTTTAATTTATATCATTAAAATCCAGATAGTAAAAACATGATATTGAAATCACGATCCGGAAAATAGTAAGGTTCTTAAATTATAAAATTATTGAATATATATAATCTTATTTTATGACAACTAAATTCAGTAAAGACGAAGGGTATTTTCGTCTTTGCGTGAGAACGACGGTACACTTGTAATAACCATTTCTCCGGGTTATTTTTCCTAACAAAAACGGAACGATTTGTACACCCTGCAATTTATTGAACGATTCTCCTTAATTTTTTTTTTAAAAAAAAATGGTAAACGATAGTAAACTTTGATATCTTATTTGTATAGTTGGAATGTCATTGTATTATGGATTTCTTATGATGTTTTTATAAAAGATCAAAGTAATATATTTATTTTTGTGTATAATGTTGATATATTTATTGTGTAGTTTGTTTTTTGAGATTTTTTTTAGTGCTATATTAAAATTAAGTAATATTTATACTAGGTGTAAAATATTGGTGTAAAATAACGTACGTGTCGCTGTTTACAGGTAACAACCATAGGTACGGGGACAAATGAAACTATTTAATGTGAATTTATGCAAGCACACTATGATTGTTTAAACTAAAACTTTCGCTGTGAGATATCAAATTTAAGAAATAAATGGTACTGAAATAAGTTTGGAACCAAGCGAAGTCTCGCACGCTGCAAGAAAATTCTAGAGAGGGGCAAAATAGTCAAAGCGCATTGATTCTGGCGCAAGAAATCTCCTGCTCCGCAGCTTGAGGGAAGATACGTGGTCCGAGCTCGTTTAGATTGGCCACGTGGCCACTTGAGGTGTGATCATGTGTGTGATGTCCACCGGCAGTACATTGACACGAAGACCAAACGTCAAGGGTTTTCTGGCGCAGAAAAAAACAGATACTTTTGTTGGACTCTTTTTTTTTTTTTTTTTTTTTTTTTTTTTTTTTAATTTTTTAAGGTTTAAAAAAAAAAAAAAACCAAAACTGTTGATATATTTATTGTGTAGTTTGTTTTTTGAGATTTTTTTTAGTGCTATATTAAAATTAAGTAATATTTATACTAGGTGTAAAATATTGGTGTAAAATAACGTACGTGTCGCTGTTTACAGGTAACAACCATAGGTACGGGGACAAATGAAACTATTTAATGTGAATTTATGCAAGCACACTATGATTGTTTAAACTAAAACTTTCGCTGTGAGATATCAAATTTAAGAAATAAATGGTACTGAAATAAGTTTGGAACCAAGCGAAGTCTCGCACGCTGCAAGAAAATTCTAGAGAGGGGCAAAATAGTCAAAGCGCATTGATTCTGGCGCAAGAAATCTCCTGCTCCGCAGCTTGAGGGAAGATACGTGGTCCGAGCTCGTTTAGATTGGCCACGTGGCCACTTGAGGTGTGATCATGTGTGTGATGTCCACCGGCAGTACATTGACACGAAGACCAAACGTCAAGGGTTTTCTGGCGCAGAAAAAAACAGATACTTTTGTTGGACTCTTTTTTTTTTTTTTTTTTTTTTTTTTTTTTTTTTTTTTTTTTTTTTTTTTTTTTTTTTGTTACTTGTAATATTTCAAGGTTTAAAAAACAGAAAAATCCAATACACAATTTTCAGATTTTTTTTTTTCAATTGCTTAACAATAATTTGAGATAGATGTGGTTCATGGACTCGTAGTCTAATATGAAACCCTTACTAATTCCGGAAAGGACAAGCACAGAGGACATCTCATCAATGACCGAGTCTACTTGTTGCAGTTGAAATTTAACGACTTGGGAGAAAACAATTACTCTGTTCAAAGCCACATTTCATCGTCTCTTGTCCTTTTATCTGATGCAAACAACATTTGAATGGTAAACACTTTTGACTTTGAAAAGAGTTGTGAAGATGTTGTTGAGGAAACCTAAACCTTGGTGGGCCTCTACTACAATGAATGTGGAATGGGCCTGTACGGCCCAACAAAACCGAACCAATCCGAACAAAATATCACCTGCCCACGCCTGTCCTGATCCCTACTTGTTCTTGGTTTTATTTTATAACCCTTTTTTTGTTAACTATATGCAAAATGATGTACTATATCATTACCTGTAGGCGAGTTTACTCAGCAGAAGAACATGGAACTTTCCACATGCTTGTGCAAAGATGGAAGGTCCTGAACTCTGCCGCTATCGCTCCCCGCCTCCGATAAATCCTCAAACTTGATGAATTGTGCTACCTGAGCTGCTGCAAGATGAGCGTAACGCACCGGCGCCACTGACAGAAGCAGGAAAGAAACGCAGAATGAGAGAGAAAACAGGGACACAGTTTCAGTTAATTGTGGTAGAAGAAGAAGAGAGTTACCGATGGAGATGGCGCTTGTGCTCCTTTGGTACCTGTAACATTTTTGATTAATGAGTACATGATGTAAGGGAGAGACAGGACAAACTTTGTCTGAAAAATCTAGGATGCGGGCTAGAGGCTTTACACATAAGAGAGGGAATGGATAAGAGACTGAAGGTCATCGGGGGAGAAACCAATCTCGTCGAGCAAAACATGATAATGAGCTGGCCTTGAGGTTCCCTGAGACCCAAGGCAAAAAAGAAAAGGTATTATGATCTGGGGTAATAAAAAAAAAGATACAAGGGTTCTAAACTTACTATGATCCCAGCATGAGCACACATGTAAAAGTCATAGTGTCTTGGGTGCACAACCTTGGTGTCCACAACGGTTCCTTGAGGAAAGGGAGTCATATGTGATGAACAAGTATTAGGAGTAATTGAATCGCATAGTGAGACAGATGGAGAAGAAGTATCATTACCTGCGGGGACATTGTCAGCACCGTTAGATAGAAACAGCTTGGTGTGGTGGTTCTTCTGAGCCACGATAACAGTAAATTTTGGAACATCGGTTTCACCAAAATGTTGGTATGCCTGCACGTACGAGAAGCAAACCGCCCTTAAGCACACTTAGTACTGTTCTACACAGGAATTTGACAGCAATATGGACTGGTCAGGGATGCCAAAATGAGAGACCTTTATGACCTGGTCCACCTCAATATTTAGGACTTGGTTAAATTGCGATTCACTTACTCCGTCCCTAAGAAACATACAAAGCGTTATTAAAAAATAAAATGAAGCATTTAGATCTTGGAGCTTTAAAAAGAAAGTAAAAATTGCTTTATTCCAATGTGAATGCTACTAAAATATAAGGTTCCTGGTGATGAGTTAACACCCTCTAACGTGGCTGGAGAGGAGTTTCATGTTGGTAGTACCTGAAAATGATGATTTGTTTTGGCTTTCGCCCCTTGCTGGTCATGTAGAACTCTCTAAACAATTCACTGTTGGGAGAGAGATTTTAAACGAAAAGAGAGTTGCACACAATAACCAGAAGGTATCCAAAGCATAGCAAGATTCAAAGATCTCGTGCATTAATAACAGTAAAGTAGATGGAGTAGCGTTCACATACTTCATAATACCCTCATCACGATCCTCAATGGGCTTGAAGAGGGAATCAATCATCTCCAGTTTAGGAGACTGCGATCTCACAGCTGCCCTGTACCTTGAGATTAAGGGCCAGCTTTTGGAACCAACAACCTGCATAAAATAAAAAAACAGATGAATAACCATATGCTGATAACGGAGCCGGGCAATGGATAATGAAAAAATAAAAAGAAAGAAATGAGTATGGAGGCTATAATACCGCTGCTATAGAAGGAGTATCAGCACGGCCTGGAGATCCATGTGATACATCCATTCCCAAGATCATAGTGGGAATATCGTTTATCAAAGGTATGTTGGAAGAGTGCTCTACTCTCAAGAGTGAATTGATGCCTCCAAGCTACACAAATAAAGATGAAATGAGTGAGACCAAGAAACAGAAGACCAAAACCTACAACATTTTCTTAAGCCCATTCATTCTAATAATACCTTTGAGTTGATCTTGAGAAGCACATTGGTGAGATATTGGTCATTGACTTTGGTTGGACAGATGCATTGCGTGTTGATCCCAAAGTCAACGAGACATTTCTTCTTCCAGGGACCTTATAATATGAAAAGAGTGGATAAGTGCGGGTCAAGATGAAGACAACTTAGAAAAAAGAGGGTTAGGGGGTATACCATAGATATCGCAGTTCTTTCGTTCTGGCAGGACACAGAGGATGAAATAAGGAGTATCTGGGAGTTTTGCTTTCATCTGCTCAAACATCTTTTCTACTCTTTTGACAGGAGTCATTCTTCTGGACTGCGGATCTTCTTCGAATAGTGCAAATGGCCGATCAATGTCCTACATTATTTAACAAACAGCATTCAGACAAAGTCAGTAATATTACTTCACATCAAATTCAAAACAAAGACATTCTCAAGGAAACATACAACGCCCTTCCTCCTGCCACAGTTTATGAGCTCCCGGGAAATGTGACTAGTGTCGCATCGAGCAGAAAAGTTTACAACAAGCCATTTGTAAATTGGGCTTGGTTGTAGAAGCACCTGCATATTGAGAAAAGTGGGGCACAAAGAACCGCTAAATCGTTTGTAGAAATGAAATGAAAAGAACATAGCTCCAGAAATAAAAGTTCAACCCCAATGACAAAAAGATCGAGAACAAACTACCAACCAAGAACGATAATACACGCATAAATAAATCCATTGATAAATACCTTATTGTTAAAGTTCCAACGTCCATTGCGAGGTAAAAAATCGTCATTCTTGCCAAATTTCAACTGCAAATTACAAATGGAATACAATACCATGTGCAAAAAGAATTTGGGAAATCAATAGAACAGAAATGACAATGCAATTCCTTGTTCGTCCTAACATAAGAATATATCAAAAGTACCATAGGGGGACTGAGGGTGCGGCCCTCAACTTGAGTCATTCGTTTCTCTATAGAAATACCACATGCAGCCAAAAATGGGTCATCATCATAGTGGCAGGTATCCAATGCCTGTAAACCCCAGTCAGCAACAATGATAAACCACCATCCAAGAATGAAGCATCGTCTCAGATAAAAGGATGAAACTCACATCATTGATAGTTCTAATTCTTTCTGGAGGCTTTTGCCTTGATTTTTCAACAAGTGATGCTCGTTGCATGCCAGACAATGCTTTTGTGTAACGCTGAAGAGAGACCAGTTCACATAGCTGCAAGAAAAGGGCCAGAAATCAAAATCCACTAGTGCAGGACAAACACTATACAGAAGAAACCTCAGAGGAACTGTTGGACTGGCAGACCTCCAGCGGTAGATAATTGGGGCGTTTTGGCTTGCCAACATCAAGACATGGCATGTAGGCAGAATAGGTAAGCTCTATGCCACCTTGTTTGAAATAGTCATATACAGTAATCTCTAGCGTCCGTTCCTCACTGCCACCACCTTTTACTTTCATTGAAAACCTAGAAAAAATGGATTTTCCCGTCAAGGGGCTAATGGAAAGGCAGAAAGATTATTTTGGAACCAGAGACATGGGACCATACGATTGCTGATTGCAAGGCTTCTCGCTGAGCCCTATAATTTTGAATTCCATGTTACGGTGTATTGCCTTTACCCTAATATGCCTAAGCATATTCCTAGCCTGCAATTATCAAACAGAAACTGAGTTTGAGAAACCAAAAGTCAAATGTAGACTTAGATATTGTGTTCAAGGCCAGTACTTCTACCTTAATCCAGTCAATTTGTCGTGCTTCCTTTACATTCTGGTTAGCCAGTAGAAAATCAATCACAGGTCCAGGCTTTAAGATCATAGTTGTTGATGAGTCTATACAGACCATCACCAAAGGACAACAAATTTGGACCATCACAAACTGTCTAACTAACATAAAGAAGGAAACGACTTAAGAACTAAAGAGATAGGGAAGGTAGGAAGAGTAATACCAATGTTCAGAGAAAGTCCACCATGTGTTGGACGAAAGCTGGAGTGAAAGCCTCGAATACCCGTTACACCTCCACCAACATCGACAGAGTGCCTAGTATCACTGAAAAAAGACTGCCTAACAAGAAGACAACCCCTGTACAACCGCCAAGTCTAGTATAAGAATTTAGAACAGATATGAAAAGCAAATCAATGTACATCTATTGGACATGCAAACAAACAGAATGCGAAGTATGATGATATACTTGGTCCATCAGACGATAGGCCAGAATTCTTTTAATTTAAAATATATACAACACATAAGAAACAGACAGAAAAGTAAACCTCTTAGCTGCGTGTTGCCTCAGTACGATATCAAGGACTCTAAGTGCATCCTGAGTGCTTTTATCCATACCATCTGCCCCTTTTAGAGTACAAAACACAGTCTTCAATGGTATTTTGGTAGCAAAATGTATCTGCACCCTGTAATTCCTTGGCAGTAGCGAATGCTTCGATCTCTTCCCAGTATCAGCAGGTCCATCAACATCAAGGATTTGACGTTCACTAGCAGATTAACATAAAAACAACTTGAGATGTGTCACATTGAAAAAACAATTTCGCTACAGATGAAATTGACACACCTCTTTGCATATGTATCCTCCATTACGATGATAAAGTCAAAATCATTTCGTGGGAGAGGACCGACAGTGTATAAAGTTTTCTCTCCATCATAGGCCAACTCTTTACTAGCAAGTTCAGACGAATAAGTCTGGTAAAGCTTGTCGATGAGTTTCCTGCTTACTCCTTTTCCTTCAAAAGATTTGCCATCCTCGGTGGTGATATTAACCTGTGTCGTATCACTGCATTGTATGCCTTGCACTCACACCGGATAAAATACAAGAAAATGGTGCACTGACTAATAGAGGCTTACAGTGTACTGGTAAAACACTATATCCTGGGATTTGACGGAAACATTGAAATGATTGGCAAGCAAAGATATCCGGTTCCCATTGCTTCCAATCCCACGCCTCGTGGTGATAGCATAATCTCGATGACTGGGCCGATCAGGCTTAGTATCATTTGGTGGTGGTGGCAATGATTGAGATTCTCCAGCTTCAGCGCTGTTTGATCTCTCCATTTGTCTTCTCAGAACTGAAATTTCCAAACATAGACAAAAGGAACACAGCTTAAGTTTGTCCTAAATAAGTACAAAATCCAGGCTAAGCACAAGAGAAGCGAGTCAAAACTCGATCACTAGTTCAAATATTACATAGTCAAGCTAATGCTTAAAATCATCCATAGAACACCACAAGCCCTTTTCATGGACTTAAAACCAAAGGAACGAGAATGACACAAATGACTGTCAAACAAATGACATTGTGGTTCCCCGTAAATCCAATTGCATAAGCGAGTTCATGCATTACGGAGTTAGTTTTCGAAAATAGTACACGAACATATAAAATCGGATACACAGTGGCCGAAATCAAAATCCACAACAGTAAATCAAAACGATCCTACGCGAAATTGAATCGTAGTTCGACATTCTCAGCGAAAACCCAATGGATTCCGAGAAATTTTCCAGGAAAAGAGAAAGCAAAGTGAACTCGCGTACATAGAAAACCGGAGTAGATACAGAAGATCGATCAAACAAAAACCGACGAAGCCTGAAAAAGACAACAACCAGCGCAAGAAATAGAAGGTACATGCAAGTTCCCCGGGGGAAAAACACACGAGAAATAGCCAGCTTAGTCCAGAAATGACAAGAAGCTTCCTTCAAGCTTTATCGCACGAAAATCCGAGAGAAACAAGCAATGGACATCTCAAAAGAGAAACGAAGAAGAAGAAAGGCAAAGAGATGAACAGCATACCCTGCGGATTTCTAGGGTTTCAGGCGAGAGAGAGAGGAGAGAAGAGGACGAAGAGGCTGTTTTCTTCCTCCCCTGCCACTTCCGGGACTGGAGAGAGAGGAGGGAACGAGAAGTTCGATTTTATTATGGCGAATTAAAATATTCCTTTTTTGTTTATATAGGGTAGAAAGAAATTCCAAAACGTAATGGAAGGGCGAGCAAATTATTTTAATTTCTGCATTTACTAAATAAGGTAATTCATTGCATTCCCCTTTAACATAATAATAATTCTTAATCCATGAATCATAAAAATCAATTTTCAACGATACATTTATATACTGCTTTTCAAATTTATATAGATACAGTCGAATATATACATATATATATATATATATATGTATATTAATTCTTAAAAAAATTAATGATACAAACAAAGCATTCACACCATTGTACAAAACATTCAAAATTCAACAGGGGTTCTAATATGTGACTAGTCAATTGATTGATTGTTTTTCTACTCTAATCTAAGATTGATTAACCAATATTCCTCCATTTCTTAATAATTAAACGTTATAAACAATAATTTTTTGTTATTAAATAGATATTATTTTAGATTTTGAAAATAATCCCTAATTTTATCCTTAATTAAAACTATCTAATTCAAATAAATTCGATGTTTTTATGATTAAAATTCAATGAATATTAATTATATTTTAACTATTAAACAAGGATATATATGATTTTTTTATATTTTCTTTTAAAAAAAGTTAAAAGGTAAATTATTAAACACAAGAACAAACAACTGTTTCTTTTTTTTATATAAAAAAACGTGGAAACCCGACCCGAAAGAGAGCAGGAATCAGGCCAAAAGGGAGGGACAAGTTTCCTTTGATAAACCTTGGAAAAATCAAAGCTTACCTTTTGTGGGTGAAAGTTGTTGTCCAACGATGAGCTTTGCTTCTTCCGCAGCGGCAGCCTGCGCTTTATGGGATGCAAAAGACAACTTCCCAGTGGGTTAATACCCAAGAGTTTTTATATGAATAGATCCCCCATGCCTTTCTAACACTGATAAGGATCGGGTTAAAAGGGTTGGGTTACTGTTTGTAAGAAATTAACAGAGAAGGAAACATTTGTCATGCCCACCAAACTCTCTACGCCTAAATTATCAACGGAATTAGGATTACAATGAAGTCTACATCAGTTGAAATGCTTAGACATGATCCTGCTCTGGTTCTGCAACCATAACTGCTGTTCTTCCAACACGGTTTGCTGATCCACCACCTTCCCATTCCCTACAAATGCCTCTCCGAAAATCCCGAAACTTTCACCGGTCCCAAACGGATCACATTTTCCCAAGGAAGCCTCCTCCTCCACCGCCCTGAACGTCGGGGTAAACGACCACTCGAAATCCTCGGGAACATTTGCCCGAAACGTGGGTTCGCTTTCCGTCTGAAACAATCTCGGTCTCGCCTCTCCGGTCACGTTTTCTGGTGGCGTAGGGGTAGGGCCCATGGGAAAGGGATTGGAACCGGAAGGATCTTCCAAGAAGGGGTTGTATTGGTCGGAGTCCATTTGGATTGCCGGTGTTGTTTGGTCTAACCCAAACGGCACCAACGCCATTGTGTTGTCCGCTTGCGCCGCTGTCGCGGTTTCTTCCAACGCAAGCAACCAATTCCCGGGATCTTTCTGATCATCTAACGGCGAGGGTTCTTGAGGAATGCTTGCCGGATTCTTGCTATGTTCACCTCTCGACATTAACGCCTCCCAAGGATCGTTCGGTTCAGCCTTTGGATCGTGCCATTCTTGTTGAATAGCTTCGGTTCCGGAGTTAACATCTTCGAGCAAATCGAGATCGACTGTCATCAAATCCGAAACCGAAGGAACATTGGGAAGAGATTTCGTGGAAAATGTGTCGAAACTATTTCCTGGATCTTCTCGAATACCGCCGTAGGGTTCGGAATAACACGACATCGGAGGACTTGTCCCCTCTGCATCCGTCTTGTTCATCAGATCCTCTAATGTACTGCAATACGAACCATAATCAGAATACCTACCACCAGACATATCGAACGAATCTCCGTAGTCATGCGAGCTCGAAACCGTCGAATCTCTCGACGATCTCGACTGTGGCGGAAGGGCGTCACTCGGAGACAGAGACTTTCCACCATTCGCCGGAAATGAAGATTGATCCTTCAAAAACTCCTGCAATGTCTGGATCAACTCCTCGGAAATCTTCTCAATTCTCGGATACTCTGAAGCTCGTCCCACGCCGATCGATTTGCAGAGATCGTAGAACAGGTTGAGCTCTTCGAACTGCTTCGAAGCCCTAACACAGGCCTGAAACGCCTTGACGCAAGATTGGTACTGCAAATGGAAGAAACTGTCCAGCAAAAGCGCTAATCCATCGGAAAAATCTCTGTACAGATCGAAACTCTCTTGAACAACTGCGTACAGAGACGCCTTCACGAGCTTGTTCGATTTCGCAGCTCCTGTTGGCCGAGTCGCGATAGCTCTGTCGAGCAGTCTCTGCCAGTACGTGATTTTGTCGAGGATCATCACCGGTTTCATGTCTCGAACCGCCGGTTCGGTATTCTTGACGGCGAGCCGGGAACGGGTTCCGGTTTGGTTCCGGTTCGTGTACCGTCTCTGGGATTTCCCGGTTAGGAAGCAATGGAGTCGCTCGTCGAGGTAGAGCGCGAATGTACGGACGAAGGAGGTGAAATCCCACGGGCAGGAGTTGGAATCGTCGCGGAAGCTGGAGAGATCGAGGATTTTGGGGCCGCGTTTCATGGCGTGGAGGACTTCGCGCGGGAAATACGGATCTCCGTCTTGGAAGATCTTGAGGACGAGGACGAGGGATTTCAGAGCGACGATCCAATTCCGGGTCCGACCGATTCTCCGGGCGATGGCGGCGGCGCAGGCGGAGGCGTGAGACTTGTCGGAGGAGATGATGGAGAGGATGTCGGAGACGAGGCGGTCGTCGATGGGGTCGTCGTCGTCGTGGGTGGTGGCCTTGAGGATGGCGATCTCGAGCGATGCTCCGACGCCGGAGACTGTGCCGTTAGCGACTCTGGCGAGGCTTATGCTCGTCCGATCCTTCACCGCTCCGATCGCCTTCTTCAGCTTGCTCGGCATCGTTTCTTGTGAATCTCTTCTCAGCGATTAATGGCGGAGATGATTTCTTTCTTTCTTTTTTCTTCTGCAGGTGGGTTATTCTGGGTATATAACCTGCATGGCTGGCGAGTTTCAAAAAGACTCGTTGACAATATTTTGTGGAGTCCCACTATCTCACGCGCTCTTTAGGCGCGCGTGTTATCATAGACTAGGCTATTCATTCCGCTGTCTGCATTTTGACGACGTTTTCCACTGATAAATTACTTGCGGAATCTTTTATCAGTCTTTTTACCATTTTTAATTATATCTTTCGACGTGCAACCCATCAGACAGACCGAAAGGTGTCTGAATTTGGACCGACTTAGAAGGCTTCTGAAAGATTTTAACATCTTTGAAAACGACGTCGTTATAACTGTACCATTATCATTACACCATCTCTGCATAGTCCCTTTTCTTTCACTTGTTTACAAAGGGAGGAGGACCTCCGTATAAAAAACAGGAAGATGACACCTACGAATATAGAAACTATGAGAATCTGACAAAACCTTGATGAATCAAAGAATCAAAGAATCAAAGAATATGAACAAAAGGGGCAGAATCCTCCACCGCAGTTGAATGGGACAACAAGCAAGCAAGCTCTCCAAGATGAGATCATCCCCTCGGGGTCGCCGTCTACTCTACGTGCAATTTCCGCCTCGTTTCCGCCTGCAAACGATCAGTTCAACCCCGTATCAATCCGACGAAATGTTACACCATGTGGTGTGGATGACTAGAATCAGATGGACCGACGTCATACTTTCTGGTGGTTTTTTTTAATGTCTTTCTCTACGTAATAAAGCTTGAGCTTCTTCTCTTTCTTATTTCTTCTTTCTATATCTGGTCCATCCTTTTTCATGATCAAATAATGCGAACCCGAAAGGACATTCAGAAAACACAGGTAAAGGATAAAGATTGCGTTGAAAACTCACCGTACGTTGATGGCTTGGCACGGAATTTCCGAGTCTTGAATCTATGTGCTGAAATCTCGGGGCGCATCCAAATACTCTGTGGATGAAGTCCTGTGAGTGATTATATATGCTGCAAATAAACCATATCCACACAAATCTCAGAACTTGCCAGGAAGCACGTATAATACAAGTAAAATTTAAATGTTAACTAGCAAATTCCGCTTGGCAAGTGTTTCTTTTACTTCTCTGTGTCGGAAGGAACGTATACAAGTAAAATTTATGTCTAAAAAAACCGTACCTAAGCCGGTGCCTGTTGCAAGCAGCGAAGAAGGCTACAAACCCGTTTAATATACTCCTTACGGCCCGGAAAATCTGAAAATGACGGAATCAAACACGTTAAACCAGAGATGTTAGAAATGTTTTATGCAATAGCATTTTTTTTTATTAAGTTGAACTGTTTACTGACATGAGAGAAGAGGTCATTCCAAAGAGATCGCAACATGGAGACTTCGTATGTCTTTACGGTGGCATGAGAATCTGATGCAAGCTGGAGCATGCTGCTCGTGTACACCCACACATCCCTGACTACCTCGTATACGCTTGAGAATACGCAAGCCGAGAAGTTAGCCAAAGCAAGAAACGCTCTTATCGGTGCATATACCACTTCCCATATGATCCAGAATATCGGCAACAAAATGAAAGTTGCTGCCATCATCAAAAAGGAAATCGGTTGGAGAAGGGATCACCAGAAACGTATGCTTAAAATATACGCATTTAAAAAAGCAATACTCAAGAGGATAAATGGTACTCACTAACGTTCCAAATTAGCGAGAGTGTAAACCAAATGGGCAAGAGCAGCAGGTCTACCATGTCACCGACAAGGCTGCAAGAAGATCCGATGATTACCCAGATCACTGAAACAAAGCTCTCCACTGTTTCTGCCATTAAATTCCACAGAGGAAGGAGCAGTTCCAAAATGTCGATGAGTGGCTTTGCTAAGGGCATAACAAGAAAAGAGAAGAATGATCGAAGCGCTCGTCCTACTGTCAAAGTCCACTTGACAGCCTTCTGAAAGTTGTGAAGAAACAACATCGTTCCCAAATACTGGATCCGGGATACCATGTCCCATGTCTCGATCCAGTCAAAAAGGGGCCCGCACAGCCGAGAAGCAGTAGCCTTCAGAAGAGGGACATTCTTGTACAGATCGTAAAATCCTATCACGACAGTGATGAGGGAGATCATAATGTATAATGCTCTTGCAAGAGGGCACATCCAGGGTCGATAGAGATGGCAGAAGCCTGGATATGACTGCAGAAACAAGACCCAAGATGGAAGTCCAGCTTCAAGTAACGTAAGCAAGCGGATGTCAGCCATTATAATCTCGCGCAATTTGAAAGGGAGGTCACGGTCATTGAATCTGACCAGAACCAAGACATCCTTGTACTGAGTTGCTTCACCTATGTTCTCCCCATCAGTTACATGGTTCTCCCAGTGATCCGAGACACTGTCATCTCTTTTAGGTGTTTCCTCCATATAAACGTCAACTTCAACCCCGGAGCCGACAGCCTTGGTTACTCTTCTTCTCTTGCAAGGTCCAGTTAGAGGTGGTGTGTGAGGCTCGCCTTCATCATAATCCGCACTAGCACAAGGGTAAACGTCGAAGAAATTTCTGATGCAGTGGGGACAGCCATTGTCAACTGAGAGATTGTCATGGCAAAGGTTTTCACCATCATCAACATGGGTCGTTCTCGAGAATTCTGTTTCAGCATCGTAAAAGACCTCTCCTGGAACAGGTATGATATTACAAGCTTAAGCAAATCAGAGTATGGGAAAATATTTTTTTTTTATCAAAAACTAATATTAGAGCAAAAGATGTACTTTAGACAAAATGATAAATTACCTATAGCTGTATCAAGATATTTCTTCAAGCAAAACTTTTCGGTTTTTGTCCCAGAGAACCAAACGGACATACTTGTCACGGCTTGATCTATGCTTTCATACTCCCACCTTTGCATGACCTTAGCTTCTATAGCAAGAGATGTACCTGTCTATGTGAAGACAGAAATCAAGTGAGAAACAAGTACAACTATACAATGTGACTCATAAACAAACAAAAAAAGAGGAAGAAAGATAGCTGCAAAGGGTTGTACCTGCAACTCATTCAAGTAACTAATTCCCCTCACGTTGGTCCATTCAACTTCAAATACGATGAAGCCATACAATGTCTTGTGCAGCTCATTCTTCAGAAACAAAGTGCTTTGCAGTTTCTTTGCAGGCACTTTCTTCTTCGTGAATGCCGCTGTCGCATCAATCAATGAGAACCATTTCTGAAGCTTCTTCAATTTGATATCGTTAGAGCCGTGAGAAATCTCTTTCTGCTTCTGCGTTGTTTTCTCCTTCCGACGTTTTGTGTTTGCAAAAGGAGACAGTCTGGACTGCAATAAACAAAGATGTTTCACTTTGTGATATTTTTTTTTATCTGAACAACGAGGAATAAGCACACCCGAGACATCTTTTACAACCTTGGTAACCATTAATTGCCACAAGCGAGCAGTTCGAGGGCCAGGATTCAGCCATGGCCGATTGTCCACCAAAATGTAAACTTTTTTACTTTCGTTGGCTAGGAAAATGCTAAGATCAGAAAGATAGGACTGCAAGTCTCTGCAACCAATGCATCAAGAAAGACAACGGTAATTCTCGGAAATAAGTGAAAACCTTGAACAAACATTAAAAATTACTATCGGTAGCCGAACAAATCCCAAACTTTGATTACACCGTCTTGTATTAGAGCACAGATTTCACATTGCATGAAAACTGGGGAAAAAAAGCTGCTAGAGAAGTGATTCAAAGTGCTTTCAAACAAACAAAACTAAACCTGAAATATCGAACTAGTTAGAGACCTGCAATCTCGAGCACAAAATGAAAGTTCAGATACCAAAGCAAAAACATAAACCCAGCTGTCTCAAATTAGACCCAATCAGACAGAACAATGCAGGAAAATCAGCCGGCTTTCCGAAAAGATCTTATTTGGCCTCAGAATTATTGATCTCTTTAAATCAATAGTTTGAAGTTGTCTACGAAAACTCAACAAAGGCCAATCTGAATGAACATAATCATCACAAATTTGGAAACCTAAAAGAGCAATGGATCATAGCATTGAAAATAAAACCCGACAATAAGAAAATAGGCATACAATCAATAAGCAGAAGAATTTACCCGATCTGGAGACTCGTTAATGGGAACACGCATTTTTCCTCACCATCATCACCATTCCCCATCAGCTTCAAAAATTTAAGTCTAGTTCCCCACTAAACGTCAATTCGTCCCAAAATCGCCTAAACCCACTGCAAAAAGGTAAAGAAGAGTTCCAGGAAGTTTCATCGTCATCGAAACTCGAAACAAATACACCAGAATTCTCCACGATTTTGATCGAAAGAACTTAACTACTAAACGAAAGGAATATGCGAAGACAATACCTCCGAAGTTCATGGAACAGCAAAACAAGAAGCGAAGAAACAACGGAAGAATACATGTAGCTCTATTCCCCCGATCGATAAAGTTCACCGGCGGACGACAAAAGCTGGAGAGCCATACGCAGACATCAAATCATGAAAATTGGCTACGCCATCACCGCTGAAATAACAACGGGAGAGGAAGAAAACGCCGGCAATCCGCGAATTCGAAATTCCAATTCGTCTCCCGGAGAGAGAGAGAGGAGAGAGAATTTGGGTTTACTTGGATGGAAGGCGTGGTGACAAGAAGAAGAAGATTCGAACAGGTGGAAGGCGTATCGGGAACGAGAAGGATAAAAACGGTAAATTCGTTGCCGATGGCGGAGAAAGATTGTCTCGTCGGTTTTTATTTATCCGGCAAGAGAGAGAGAAACGGTGAGCACGTGGAGAGAGAAGGGCTACGCGCGTGGGATAAAGCCCTAGACCGAAAGCGCGTGAACCTCAATATTAACTGTTCTAAATTTTATTAGAATATTGTTCTATAATTGGAAGACTGTAATGACACAAAGAGCGTGGCATATTGTATATATTATGTATGGATGTGTTATACACAGATGTATCACGAGTGGCACGACCCATGAAGTATACAAATATATCTAACCTTAATGAATTTTTATATCAAATCGAGTTAATTTTGAATTTAATGAAATTTTTTTTTTATACAAAAGAGCTCTTTCTATAAGATAAACCCCATAGAATGGAATATGCTACGAAAATTGGATGGAATAGTCCTTATCAAATGCAAATGCTTCTTTCACCATAAAAGTTAGCTTTTAATGGAATGCTAAGATCATTGATTAATCGAGTAATCGGCTAATTAATTAAAGAGATTCTATCGTTTTACCTTGAAATATATGAAATTACAAATATAAGCGCGTGGGCTTTGCATGAGTAGCCCACAACCAAATCTATGACGACAGTACGAATACGATCGAGCCCTTTTTATTTGGAGCTCGTAGTTGGCCCACGCAACCCTTGACATAATAATAATAATAATAATAATAATAATAATAATAATAATAATAATAATAATAATAATAATAATAATAATAATAATAATAATAATAATAATAATAATAATAATAATAATAATAATAATAATAATAATAATAATAATAATAATAATAATAATAATAATAATGCCACCTTGATATAAAATTTCTGCTGCCGAGAAGCCCATACCCCATCAATTTCTACTTCGCTAAAACATCACATGAATACTAACACTAAACATAAACTCTTACGTTATATACACGAGATCGTGTCCGAAGAATTCCAAGTTCATTTCCCCAAACCCATTCTCAAGCCGATAGCTAAAAACAAACCACATTGATGGTAACAAGTTATAGTTAAGAGAGATGAAAGGTGACTTTACCTGCTCAAATTGGCATCCGCCCTCGTGGTTATCGGTCTTCTGCTCCGTTCTCATCGTTTGCTTGTCCCGACAGGGCTAAGTCATCGGAGCTGGAGTCTTTTCTCCAATGGGGTGGAGTCACACAGTCTGAATGGGTAGGTGTCCGGTCGTTACCAGGTGTCGTGGGTAAAGAGGAAGCCGAAGAATTACCAGCTCGGAGGTTCTGAAGGGTTGCAAATGATTCTCTCATTGCCGACATTGCCTCAAAGAATCGTGTGCATGATGCTAACGCAACTGGGATTGGACGCAGCATTTCCTGTGTTTGTTGAAAGTGAAGTAATCAAAGATCAGATCAAGAAGCATAAAAGCGTGAGTATGTTCTTACACCCCAGACGGAAGGAGGCTCCTTAAAGTTTTGACTCCACTGGAAATCCGATACTGACGCTGATAGGGCACCATAGTCACTAGCAGCCTTCATTAGCAACTCGGAAAATTGTTTCTGCAACACAAAGCAGGAAGATGGATATAATAAGGAAAGATAAACCAAAACATGCATTTGGTTACACTATGCATTTTTTTTTCAACCAAGAGGCAGCAGTCTCTTGTTTTATTTCTTCTTCCGGTTTAAGCACATTTATATGCATATCAACTTTAGAAGACCACAAGGTTTTAGTTGGTCCCTCAAACTGGAAGTGGCAGAACACTATCACATGACTTACTTGGTATTCTGCTTCAACAGGAATGCAATCTAGTGAATAAGGCTGTTGGAGACGAGCAATGATACGATCCTGTAAGATAAAACAAATGGCATTAGACACTTAAACAACCAGTTCATGCTCAGAAAAGGAAGATGACTTTTCGAACTGTCTTGAGGAACTACATTCTCGCTAAAGACAAGCTACTTAAAACGAGGAAGAGGGATAGCATGATTTTGCCAATATCAATAGAAAATATTTTACAACCAACTCATGCTGGAATCTCGATAAACACTTGTCATGTAAAAGAGAGGATAGAGCTGCACGAACATGATATGGGAGCTAGATTTCATAGATAAGTGAAAAGGAATAATAATTTACCTTGTTCTGTATGACATCCTTCAATATTTGAGTGATCCTTTCCAGAGTCTCGATTTTCTTTTGCATTTCACTCACATGTGTCAAATGTGCCACATTTTTATCATCCTAAAATTGGTTGCCACATAAATCAGTAAAAACAAAATTTGACAAAGCCATTATTTATGTAGATCATATGTAACACGTGACTCGCAAGTAAAGCAACTATAAGATCCACTTCTTGTCTCCTTAGATAGAGAAAAAAATCCCTTGAAAATATACCTTTCGCCCTTGAAGCTCGACCTGCAAGTCTGCAATTTTTCTTTGGACAGCAGACAACTCACGCAAGACCCTTATTAAATCATCGCCTTTCTCACCAGTTGAAGATGTTAAGTTTTGTAGTTCTTCCTAAAGCGAGGACAAAGAGGGTCAGATAACTCAAGTTCCTTTACGGTTAAGTGGTTTGCAAAGTCAAGTATTACGTATGCTGTGAATTGAAGCTTACAGAAAAGAAAAGAGGTAAATATGAGAAAACAATTTCCATGAACTTTAGAAGCAAAACAGATAGCAGGCCCAAAAGTAAGATAGATGCTATGACTGCGCACAGTTATCTACTCACACTTATGCAAAAGAAACTGTTCATCAAATATCAAAAGACCTCCAAGTTTCCGGACAATCCTCAGACTACACGCTAAAATCTATGAAAGGGTTCACAAACACCATCAGGCGACATTCCCTTGATGGATCTCACAATTCTTCTCAAAAGAATCAGCCAGAAACTCAAGTTTATGGATTAATACAAAAAACTCCAGATGAAAGGTATAGGGTAACGAGAACACCAGAGTCTTTAACTTAACTTGCATACACAAAATTTCCCCAAAATTCGGTATTAGTAAGCTTCGAAGCAGAAACAGCCTCACAATACCAGCCCTAAGAGTATTCAGACGCATTGAATAGAGTCTCATAGTTCCAAGATCTACTCGTCAACCATATGGTCTACAGATTACTACGTCAATGTCAGATCCCTAGCAATCTACATATTTTCCAAATTTTGCGAAGAAACCTCTTGATGCTCAGGAAGCACAACTACTACGAGTTACAGATTCTACATTCCTTGAACTATAAAATAATCCGACAAATTAGGAGATGAAAATTTCAGATAACCAAGAGATTAAAACCAACAAAATTCTTTAAAAAAAGGATCATCGCTGCAACAAAACGAATCTAAAGCAGTGGAAGCACCTGAGACGGTGGCGGAGCGACGGAGAAACCGAGATCGGAGGCGATGGAAAGAGCATCAGACATTCCGCCAATGCGCCTGATCGGCTTCTTCCCCACCCACGTTGCGTCGCTTCCCATCGACATTTTCACAAAGCTTCCAAAGCAAGAACCGATGCCCAATCGACGAAGAAGAAGACGAAACTCGATTTTGAATTTTGCGGGCCGTTGCGCTTCCTGAAAGAAACTATAAATGAACGGGCTTGAACGCATTGGGCTTTCCTTCGTCTTTCGGCGTGCCGTCATTTTCTAGAAACCCCAAATTTTAATTTTTCAAAACAAGATCGATTTAAAAAGAATAAAAACTATATATAAAATTAAATTCTAATCAAATATAATGTAAAAACTAAATGATTGTAATATTTTTAAAATTGAAAATAATCCAACCGCTACCCTTACGAGTATATCGCCTTTTTAAAATGTGATGGAAGAATCTAAGTTTGTATCTGGCAAGTGATACAACCCTCCTCCCAGTGGCATTTATTTACAACTTGTTTCATGCGACACAATGCATTTATTTAAGGAACGAAGTTGTTTGCAGAATAAACAGCCTCTAAACCGGGCATAACATACCAACTGTTGAACCGGACATACCGGGATCGGTTTTCTCTGTCTCTGGGTTTGATTCATCTCTTCCTCCCCTGCTTTTCAATCAGTCACCAACAGAGGAGATATCAGAGCTTAAGGACACTTCGATCTCTTCGAGAGAACGACCCTTTGTCTCCACCGTGAAGTAGTACGCAAATGCCGCTGCCAACAACGATACGATGCCAAATCCGGCGTAGACTGAACCGATTCCGAATTTCTCCACCATATCCAGAAAGAACAAACCGACCAGAAAGTTGCAGACCTGAGACAAATTACCAAAAAATCTAATCAAGAGAGAGCTCTGTTCAAATCCATGCACGCACCACTTCAAAAATCACTCTGGTTGCTTTGCTTTCGACATGTTAAAGGAACAAAACCTTTTATAGGAAATGTCTAAATTCTTCTCCTTTCTAAAGAAAATGTGAAGACTAACTAACCAAAGCAGGAAGAATTGGACAAGAGAAGAGATTCATATGGGTTCAGGAATTTGTACATTTGTCCAAAAATAAACAAAAACAAAACAAAACCGACTGTATTTTGAGTTCAGACATCAAATGCCTGAAAGGTGAGGAAGATTATCATAAAACAATCACGTACGTACCCAGTGAACTGAGAAGCTGAAACCCATGATTTTCCCACGTGTTCTGTTGCTGCTTAGCTCGGGTATAATAAGACCAGTCACAGGACCGGCTCCAACAGCAAATGTGAAAATATACCTGTCAAAACACAGAACCCGTCAACTGGATTATTGAAACTATAGATCGAATTGAAGAAGGGAAGGAAATTGTGATCATGGCTGGTTTGAATTACACAAGCTTCTTACATAAATGTTCCAAGTATTGACAAATTGTGGCTCAGATCTTCGTCCAAGGGGAACCCAACAGAGTAAACGATAAGAAACATCGATGCTGCCTACACAATAATGGTTTCATGGATGACTTTGAAGCCATTCCATTAAAATAAAATAATAAAACATGAAATAGTACAATTCATGCAATAGACAAACATACGCACCATTCCCACGTAGCTTCCAATGAGGAGCTTCTTTCTCCCTTCCTTGTCAATCAAATAAGATGCGCATAGAGCACCTGCAGGAATCCAGGCATTAATGAAATAGGACACCATTTTAAAAAGAAATAAGTGAGACCTGAGCCAAATCCACATCTAAGTTGCAGAAATGAGATCTCGAACCTGCAAAGTTTGTGAGTCCGACATATAGACTTGCTAGGGCACTACTTGTGATTCCAACATCTCGAAATGTTAGAGATGAGAAATAAAGAACACCATTAATGCCCGCGAATTGCTGAAGTAGAAACAAGGCACCTCCTATGAATGCAACTGCAGTTATAACAAGAGCACAGCATTCAAAGTCAAACTACCTAGTTTTGTGGATGCAATGTTGTAAAGTTCCTCAGTTTCTAAACCAGACGCCTTCAATTACTACTTAAGTGTTCAGGAAATAACCTACTCAAACAAGAATCCAGAGAACATAAGATATTTCTGTATCACGGTGAGATTTTTAAATGTAAATTAAAATCCACCTTGATACAACCTCGTGAGTGTGGCTTATCAAGGAGTTCCGACCATCCACTATCCAAGTCTGTGCCATCATTCTTGATGACAGACTGAAAATCTTCAACAGCCTTGCTGACTTCAGACTCTCCCCAAATGTCTTTTATCACTGATTTGGCATCATTCAGTCTTCCAACCTATACTAGCACCATGAGATGTGATTTTAGCAGCAAGATCAAGACAAAAGATTAAAGTCTTATGTGCTAACGGACAAGGATGACTTGTACCTTACAGAGCCAACGAGGACTTTCAACTGCAAACTGCATACCGAGTGCAAGAAGAAAACCAGGCATACTCGCCACATAGAGCATTGTCCTCCACCTGAATGGCAGTATGTATAGGTCTCTGAAAAGACATGTATGACACGTAGAGAGAAAAAGTACACGCAGTGCAGAAATTCTTCGACTTGCTCATAACATGATGCTTCCTAATTGAAATTAAAAATCATGTAAGAGACAGCTGCTCTTTGTGTTCTCCTTTCAGGTTAACTACATCTGGAGACCGTTAAGGCATAAGGGCCAATGGACGGCAAAAAAGAATAATTATTAAGTAAAAGAAACATGTGATTATCTGACAGAACTAAAAGATTTTGTGATTAGATTGTTGCCAAATGTAATTAGAGGAGCAGTTAAATGAAGCTCACCAATTTGGGTCATCTTCTGCAGGAATCCCCAATAGAAGGGAAACGATTATCCCAATGCATGTGCCAATTTGACACAATGTCCCCAGGGAACCCCTGTACTTCGTTGGAGCAACCTGTAGCACACAAATTAGTAGGTTCAACAGATGAAGTGAATAAAAAATTCACCTGAAAATTAGTAGGTTTACGCCGATCAAAAGTACAACAACCAAAACTGGCTGATTTGAGCAGTAAAACTAAAATTAAAAATACTCTTGATCTCAAAGATGAGAAGGCAACACTCAGATGTTAAAGAAAGATATGGAGATATAAATCTGAGAAGTAAATACGCTTTGATTACCTCAGAAATATAAATGGGGACAAGAACTGTGTTCACGCCTATGCCAAGACCAACAAGAAATCTTCCACATAGTATTTCATCCAAGGAATGAGCTTGTGCACTGACAGAAATTGATGAGTCAAAAGTCTCAGATCGTTATTCTATTGCAGCAAGAAAACTCAATCTATACAACTTGGAACATCGATCAAGGCAACAATATTCTATAATCAAGATTCTAAGTAGACAAACAATTACCTCAAAAGGGCACCAAGAACCAGCGGTACCGTGACAATCTGAAAAGTGTATCGGCAGCCCAGCTTGTCAGCCAGTGGACCAGAGCTTATGCTACCAATAAATGCACCCGCGATAAATATGCTCACAACAAGACCCTCAAGTATCGAGTTTCCCTCGAATCCAAGTTCCCGTGCAATAGACACGATGGGACCATTCATCACTCTGCAATAAACAACTGGTTCCAATAGGTATCAACCTGAACAACTCGTATTCATCATACTAAAAGCTAATCACTCGAGGTTGGATTGTCCAATGAAAAAAAAACTCAATCTTTTACGCTAAGCTGAAGCTCCCAAGTCCCAACTAACTAATCCACATGATTTCCATCAACCTGAACACCTCATATTTTTCTTCATGGAAAGATAAGCAATTGATGACGTTAGTCATGCCACTGATGTAAATATAATGGGCTCGGGGTATGATTAGCTTGCAAAGTGCATAAGTTATCCAAATTTTATAATATTGATCATGCAATCTCCAGATACAAATTTCACATTGCCAGTTAAACAAACATAAACATAAATCATCTATGACATCTATGAAATACCAGTTCATTAGTCTGAACAAAACGACAACTTAAGATTCTCAACCAACAGATGTGAGTGACACTGAAATCATATTACTCCGATAAGTCAGATTAAGCAACGGTGATTGATCCAGGGGAAGAAAAAAATACCCAATGTGATAACCGAAGAGAAAATTCGCCATTGACGCAACCGATACGTGAGGAAAAGCCGGTAACCAACCCAAATCAACGGACGATTCCTCTTCCTCCACGGACGAAAACGGCGATTTCTCATGATCTTCGTCTGAAAATTCAAAAACAAGAAAGCAGTGGATTTGAATCCGAAACCACAAACTGATCGAGTGACGAAATTGTGTTGTCGAATAGGCCGGAAACTAAAAACCTAGTTTCTTGATGCGCAACTCCGTCAGGCGCCTCTTCCTCGCCGCCGGAGACCGAAGAAAGGGCGACCTCCTAAGGGAGCGAGCGAATCGGGTCGGGCAAGACAAGGCGGGTCGGGTCGGAGCAACGGGTTGGTGTAGCAGTGCCGTAGCCAGCCACATCAGATCACACCGAGCAAGAGAGAGAGATCCTCCGGTTCATCAAATGTTAATTTTGAAACACTACATACATAAAGCCATGACATTTTCTCACCCTCGTGAGACGACGTCGTTTGACGGCCCAACCGGGATTTAACTAAAAACTTATGTCATCGCGCGCAAAGTAACTGTGAGATTGATGATTAATTAGTTTTTTTTTGGTGATTAGTTAGTTAACAAGAAAACTCCATTTTCCTGCAAAGATTAATCTCGAGAAGCCCGGCCATGGCGGACGGCGGGTGTCCGCCGGAAAAGGAGCATCTGATCGATTACGTGTGCTCTGAGACAGGAACGACTCGCGACACAGCAATCTTCTACCTCCAAGCTTACGCATGGGAAGCAGGGAGCGCCATCGCTGCATTGCTTGAGGACAACCCATCGCCGATTTTCCACCGACTCCCTGCAGATTTTTCTTCGGCTTTGCCTCCGTCTCCTCCGCCGCTCAGGTAGTTCTCATTCCTCGGGTTCTCTCGTGGTTTTGTGCTGAACAAGAACGAGATCGTCCCGGTGTTTCGTGATTTGTAGTTTTAGTTGCTGAATGATTTGGCTTCTTGCGATGCTTCTTCCAGTGGGTCGAGTGTTGTTTGGTTCCCGAGAAAATCCAGGAAACTGTCGTCTTTGTTGATTTGATTTCCTCCCTTTCTTTTTTTCTTGCGTTTGTGTGAATCGGATTAACAAGAAAGCTTCAATTTCTGTGAAGGACGGAAACGGCGGAGGCTGAAAATCAACCGGGAACTGTGCAGGATCCAGTCGGTTTCTTCTGTGAATGCACAGGACAGTGTCGAGAAGCAGCACTCTTCTACCTCGAAGGTTTCAAGTGGAATTTCGAAGAAGCCATCAATGGCTTCCACAGCAATATTCTTCCGCCGCTCGGCGACTCCATTTCTCAGAATCTTCCGACGGATGAAGCAATGGCCATTGATACAAACCCTAGCTCTGAGCCTCCTCCCTCTCCGCCTCCGCCGTCGAAGCGACTGCGATCTCCGTCATCCCCTCCGGAGGATAGTTCTTTTACGTTTCCTAAACTGGAGCATTATAGTTTATTGGAAGAGCAAGAACAAGTCCTTGGTGATTCATTTGCCAGGTGATAATTTTTGGGATTTTGTTGAGGTTTTATGTGGAAGAGACCAAGATTCTGTAACTCTCGTCGAAGATTGGGGTGAATGATATTTGTCATTTTTGTGCAGTGACATATCAAAGGTTGTGAGTGCCATGAGAAGCAATATCGAAGCGCTCGGTTCCATGGCAACTACTGTAAACATGTCCCATAAGAAGGTGAGTGCCATGAAAAACAATATCGAAGCGCTCGGTTCCATGGCAACTACTGTAAACATGTCCCATAAGAAGGTAAGCCCTATTCGCTCTAACCTGTTTCCAGTCAGATTCAATATCTGTCTCGGCTTAAAACGTTGCCCGGAAGAATTGCAGGACGAGGAACTGGATGAACAAACTTCAATCATGGAGGAGGTATCTTCTGCTCCCACCCCTGAATCAACCTTTGATATCGAACTTGCTGACGGAATCAAGTTTATCGCGAAATTCAATCCACGAGATAGGATCAGAGATGTTCGTGACTACGTTGATTCAATGAGGCCTGGTGAGCCAAAAGACTACAAGTTGCTGACAAAGAGCTCTCCTCGGAGAGAGCTTACCGATATGGATCAGACCATCGAAGAGGCTGGCATCAATGACTCGGGTCTAATTCAGGAGTATCATCGTGATGTATAATCTCAGTTTCTCGCTTTTCATGAGTCCAAACGTATATCTCTGATTCTAATATTCTTAAACCTTTGTCTGATCACAGAGTTCTACTCCGACCACTGGGGACCAACCCTTCTCGGCAGGAGCAGACTCACCAGTCATTGGTCTAGTAGAGGATCCGAGCAGACGGGCTGTTGCACTTGTGATTCATCTACGGGACGGGAGCGAGTTGGAGCTGTCATTTACCTACGACAAAACCATCAGAGACATCCATGAACGTGTCGATAAAATCAGACCTTATGATGGAAAAGCCTACCATTTTCTGGATTCTGAAGCGAGGGAGCTTAGAGACATGGATCAGACCATAGAGGCGGCTAAGTTGGATGAGCCCAGACTAGTGCAGATGGATGACTATTAGCTTAACTCTCTTGTACAGTGAGACAACAAAGAACATTTATTGGAAACAATACAGAATGAGATCAAAAGCAAAATGTGAAATCACCAGTTATCCATGTCCTGCTCAATTTCCAGGGACAGATTATTGACATCTCTGGGCAAAAAGATGGGTGTCTTGAGAGTTATAATGTTACTCTTCTTCTTCATCATCAGGCGAGAGATTAAAGAGGGCAAAAGAAAAAGAAAAGACAGGGATTGGGCTCAGTGTTTTTCCTCAAGTGCAGATGCTCCCGATATAATCTCGATAAGTTCTGTTGTGATAGAAGCTTGACGAGTCCTGTTTCACAGGAGAACCAGATCAGACAACGTCAGGCAAATGTCACAGAGAGAGAGAGAGAGAGAGAGAGAGAGAGAGAGAGAGAGAGAGAGAGAGGGGGAGAGAGAGAGACCGGGTGTAAGAGAGGGTGAGACGGTCAAGCATGTCTCCGGCGTTTCTGCTGGAGCTGTCCATGGCAGACATCCTGGCTCCCATCTCACTGCAAGCATTCTCTAGCACCGCATTGAACATTACCTATTTCCGTTACAGAAAAGAAAACACCTCAACAAATCTTTTGTAAACTCTTGCAAACCCCGGACTAAAATCGAAACCATATTTCGTTGCATAATAACTACATGGTACTCACACAAGAGAACTGGAACTCAGCCAGATTTTGGAGTATTTCACCCTTTGTTTCACCACCTTCGATCTCATATGAATCGAGCTCACCGAGCTTTCCTCCGGCTTCAGCCTCCTTCTCAACCATCTACATGTGCATTAAAGATTTCTACAGATGACGGTGAATGTTACACAATAAGGCATGAAAAGACTGAAGATATGGAAGTTGACACGACCTCGGGAGACAAAATGGTGGACACAGTTGGCAGAAACGACATCACCGAGTGGAACTTGTTGAAGACAATTCGTAAAGCATCAAACTCCACGTTCTTCAGGATCTCGTCGGCCAGGACAGAAACCTGAAGGAGAAAGAGCAAATATAAGAACAAAGACAAGTTTTGAAACTTTTGAATATAAACGATTACAACATACCTGGGTGTAGTTCAGCGGATTCTTCTGCACATCCGTTATGGAAAGGTCAATGTGTTGCTTTGAGTCACGTATCAACTGAGCTTTTGCTTTCTCTCCCACAACGACATATTTCACTTCTTTCTCAGGACCTGTGACCAGAAAGGGATGGCAAAAAGGCTTTAAGAGGATAATTCATGAGAAGAATCATTACAAGAGAGACATATCTGGTAATGATTCAAAACTTACCAGAAGACAGCTTGTAAAGACCCTTGCTCACTTTAACAGAAGTGGAGTTAATCCCACCACAGAGACCCTTGTCAGAAGAGAGAGTGACAACCACGCTCTTCTTCACATCAACACCTGGTTTTGCAACCCAACAACAAATTGCAATCAGGAAGGCATGTAGGAAGAACCATACAGATATAGCAAAGAGGGCAGACCTCCAAGAAAATAGCAAAAACCAAAAAGGCATCATATCATATGGTATCAATCAGAGCTATAAATATGAATGCAAGCCATGGTTGATTAGCTATGATTGCACAAGATGATATAAATCAGATAGATTTTTATGGCCCAACTTACTGGGCATGTCTCCAAGAAGTGCGGTAAATGGCTGCCAAAGTCCACGGGAATTCACAGCTCTGGATTCGACGGCTCTCAACTTTGAAGCAGCAACCATCTTCATTGCCTTTGTAATTTTCTGGATGTTCTTTACACTCTTCATGCGGTTCCTCACTGCAGGAAGAGACATATTGCAATTCAAAGAGGTTAGGATATACAAGAATTCTCCGAAACACAATACTAACAAGTAACAAGAGAAATTTCATCTCAAATCATCAAGTGAACCTTACCCGCTTGGGTAGAGGCAAAGCGGACTCCAAGAGGGGCATCATCCCTATGAACAAAAAGATAAACATCAAACAACAGAAAACTACGAAGAATGGTCCCGGCATTATATACGTTTATGCTCCTATTGAAGCAAAAACTCGTCCATTTTGCGTCAGCGAAACTAGACTCTAAAGAAATGAGCTTCACTCGGAGAAAAACGCCCAATATTTCAGAATTCCCACTTATCAACACCTCTTCCAGATCGGAAAAAACCAATTTGATGTATTCACGCCGAAACTATATGCAAACAGGAAAACATTTTCCGAAAACAATCCTAACCCTAAGGATCGTTCATCGAAATAAGCACGCAGCAATGAAAGAATCGGAAACACGCGATTCCGGACTCAAAAGAGGAACTCGGTCGTCCGGTAACGTATAGGCCAAGACGGTAAGAGTGTTTCAAGGGCGAGAGATCTCACTCGGGAGAAGAGATTGGAGCGGCGGATCGAACGGCGGCGATTGGGCGAGGAGAGATCGAAGGAAGGAGGCGCCTCCCTTCGCGACGGAAAACAGACATTGCCATTGTTGACGGGATTGGTGAGCAAAATCTAGCTCCGGCGAACTTCACGGATGGATTATCGTTCTCGGCTTATTGATTCAAAGGGGTAACTCCTATGGCGAAGGAACAAGGGCTTCTGGGCTTGAACTTCATTGGTCCCCGAAACGGCGTCGTTTCAAAGAATGGCCGACAAAAATTAGCACTTTCTTAGATTTTACCTGAGCCCATAGATTGTAGTATTGGGCCCATGGGCCGATACCAATCTAGATCCTATTAACGATGTGGTGTGGTTCGATATATATAAAATTATTATTATTAATTTATTATTATTGTTGTCGTTGCTGTAAATCTCATGAAATTATTTTAATATGGACAATTTTTTTTAGTAAAAATGAGAAAATAAAAGTATCTAGATCAAAGGGATGCGTGTTTGAGTTCGGAAATTTAGTTCTAATTGATTTTAATCGAAATCGAGTTAAATAATATTTGGTAACAAATTTAGTACAATTTTTGAAAAGCTGAATAGAAATCATTTTCAAACCGATTTGGATAAATACCGAATCGAACCCCAAACACCTACTTAGAACCTTGGACAATGTGGTACCGATGAACATTGTGCAAAACTAACATATGTTCGTTCCTACCAATACGTTACAAAACAAGGTTTATCAATCATCACCGTATGCCCTAAAACTGTACCGTTCACGGTACGGAGCGTTGAAGAAGAGATCGGCCTCGAACCATTTCGGGTAATGGACAAGATCTCCCGCCAGGAACCGCATATACTTCTTGCTTCCTTCGGGCACAACCCGAACTTCTCCTTCCTCTATATAGACCAGCTGATCCACCTGCCAGTCCCACGGCAATCTGCACTTCCCCGTCTTCCACACCGACCATTTCGAAACCTCGAGCTCTTCCAGCCGTCTCTTCGTCACTTTCCTCTCCACTCTTACGTTGTATAGCTCCTCCAATGGCTTCTCCATTTGCATACATGTCGTCATTGCCCGAGCTCTGGTACGTAACGGGTTATCTGTTCTCGTAGGCTTGGTGAAACACGAATGGAGAGACGGAATCGTTATCAGACTCGCCATGGCTGGTTTTTAAGCAAGGTCTCCTCAGCTTTATCTGTTCTTGCTTGGTCGCCTGCTCAAAATGTGAACAGATTCAGGACTGAGGTCACAAACTCGAAACCCGAATCCCGGTTTCTTTTTTCCAGCGAAGTAATATTCCGGAATCTGGAATGTGGATTATCGAGTTTCACTCAAAACCTAGTACACATACAGTGGCTTTAGAACACATTTGAGCAAAGAAACATTGATAAAAGAAAACCATATGTGTCTGAATCTCAAACAGATAAGCTCTCACTTTGTTGAAAGAAAAATCACCAAGTTAACATTTGCGGAAAAGTAAGCGCAATTTCACAAACCAGTTTGCAATCTCCAAGAGGATACTGTAAATTCATCCCGAAAATATATATCATCATACCGATGGGTTGAGTTGAGTTGATTCAAGCAAACGGTTCTTTCAATGTTAATTTCTGCGTCCTCTGAATCTATTACCACTCATACCCAAGATTTTCTTCCCAAAACCCAGGAGAAATTCAGGCAAAATCACCCAAAAAGCAATAGAGATAACCTCAGAAAATGTCTGAAATTTTCACTAGAGAGAAACAATTGTTCGTCGATTTCCAAAAACGATCAAAGACGAGACAGAGATAGAACTATGCTAACCAGAAATTCGAAAAAAATTTACCTTTCGGAAGCTGTAGCAAGGATGAAGTTGAGACCGAAGTGGGAGCTTCTCGCTCATAAACCCTAAACCCAGGCTTATCCGATGGATAACATACTGGTAGAGTTACACGCAGGTCACGTTTAAGATGTAACCACCAATCGGATACAAACTCTCTCAAAATTATAGAAACGGTTCTCATATTTAAGTATATTTACACTTTTATCCCAACGTTTCTACTATATGATAGTTTGACCACTGAAGTTCTGTTTATGAGTGTAATCAAACGACATGAACTTTTATTACCTCTCTAAATTGCTCTTTAAGATAGAAACGATACAGTACATATGTATAAATACATTTCGGAAAAGAAAAACTTGAATTTTGAGCCAAGAATCTGTGCCATTCTTCTTGAATTTTCGTGTGTCATCCAAAACCAAATACGAGAAGAGCAAAACCAGAGACAGTTCGAGTTCTGAAACGTGTCGTGTTCTCACACACTGATGACAAATCCTCCGGTTTTTACAGAACATGGTTGTTTTTGTGCGAATTGAACTAAACCCAAGAGACTAAATCACGAAAGTTAACCTTTTTAGCCTATTTTTGAGGTGTTAGCTTCTCCAAATCCTCGGAACTCATGGTGATGGTGGTTCTGCAAAGCCCGCAGTCCAATGGGTTGACGAAATGCGCGGAAAGGGTTCGGACAAACCGAGGGAGACGAAGAGCTCCGGCGACTGTCTGCGTTCAGACACAAGTAGCTCCTTCTAGAACTCAGGTGAAGATTTTGTGGGTCATGTTCGTTTTCAGGTGAAAATTTTCCGGGAAAGGCTTACAAAGGGCTCGAATTTCTACTGCAAATTCTCCTAAAGTTGATTACTTAACGAACAATTCCGAGCTTTCTCCGTTGGTCACGAAAGATAGAATTTATACGAGGGGTGAAATTTTCAAGAAACTTATCAATTCGTTTGCTTCTGGGGTTCTGTTTGCGTCCGAGGAAAATGGGTTTCCCGGAAAATGTGGAGAAAAGGAAAACTACTCGAAGCCTGCTGCTTCATGTGAACAAAAAAATGGCAAAATCGAGTTTTGCTTAGTTAGAAAAAGGGAGGATTTTTTAGCTATTTCTTCATGAAAAAAAATGTTTTCTTGGAGAACATGAGACTTAGCATCTTCTTCAGGCATTATATCTGTATCGTTCTGCATTATTCGTGTTTCCATCAAAATCTGTTATCAAAAGAACTTCTATTCCAATGACCAAAAATTAGCCCCTACTGTGGAAAAATCTATGGCGCAAAGCAGAAAGATGCCATGAATTGTAAAACTTTAACTGATGGGCTCACTATCTGAAGTGCAGTAAGGAACTTTATTGCTGTTTCCATCTACTTCTGCACTTACTGGAATTTTGAATGCCTCTGGAGCATGGAAAGAGTATGTAGAAAAGCATGCTTGTGAGTGTGAATTTGTTTGGCCACTTGGCTATGCAGAGGATAATGGAGGGTATTTCGGTTGGTGGAGAAGTGGGCGGTGCTGGTGGAGCTAACTCTTACAATGCCCTGAAGAATCTCGACCAGATTTGGTCCAACATATGTACTCAAACAACAGGTATAAGTTATATAACATAGGTTGTTTCTAGTCATTGCCATTCCACTTACCCCATACAAAGAAAGAAAGAATCCTCTCGGTTAGTGATGTTAATAACGCTTTCACTCGACATTTTGCAGCACCTTGGAAATCCCAACGAGTAGTTTCACAGGTTTCTGGTCTTTTCCAAGACTCGGGTTCGGATAACAAACTAGTTGGCACATTTGATGTAGTGATTTGTGGGGGCACTCTAGGAATCTTCTTGGCCACCGCCTTATGTGCCAAGGGTCTAAAAGTTGCTGTGGTGGAGAGAAATACGATCAAAGGGGTAATTTTGTATATGCCCAGCTGAGAAAATGTGTTTTCACTGTTTGAGAAGCGGTTGATGTTTTATTTTGGGTTGTGTAGAGAGATCAAGAATGGAATATCTCAAGAAACGAGCTTAACGAGTTGGCTGAAGTAGGAGTTTTAGCTCAAGATGAGATCGATGAAGTTATTGCTGTGAAATTCAATCCGGTAAAGCTTCTGATCTGTAAGAAATTTTCACTATTTAACTCCATGGTTGTTTACACTTACGTCTTTTTCTTAATTTTCTTTCCTCTGCAACTTTTGTCCTAAAAAGATATAACAACTGCAGAACAGATGCGGATTTGAGAATCTTGGTGAGATATGTGTTGAAGATATTCTTAACCTCGGTGTATCGTGAGTCCCTCTTTGTTCTATTTATCTCTTCCCGATATCGATAGGTCTATCAGAAACAAGTTAATAACTTGTGGAGACCATTCTTGTGATTGATTCAGCCCAGTCAAACTTGTGGAGACCGTCAAGAACCGTTTCATTTCCCTCGGTGGAATCATCTTGGAAGATTGCAGTCTCTCAAATATTCTTGTCTATGATGATTTTGCTGTGAGATTTTTCCATCCCTTTCCCACATTAACATCCTGAACATGAAGAAAATTTATCGTATCGAGATGAAATGTTTGATATTTCTACTTGCTAGGTTCTGAAACTTTCTAAAGGTGACATTCTTTCATCTCGTCTGGTCATCGATGCAATGGGAAATTTTTCTCCTATTCTGAAACAGGTCAGATTGTGAATTCACCACCTCCATCGGGAACAATATAGAGCTTCATAATTCAGCTAAAAACTCGGTGTTTCACTTTTGTTGAGCAAATCATTGATGAGATTACCGTTCTCGTTATGTATTCTACTTCAAAAGATAAGACGTGGCAAGAAGCCAGATGGAATGTGCCTTGTTGTTGGATCTTGTGCTCGTGGATTCAAGGAAAACTCTGCAAGTGATGTCATATACAGTAGTTCTTTGGTGAGGAAAGTTGCAGATTCTAATGTACAACTCTTTTGGGAGGTAAAGTTTCTTCCTTTATTTCTGCCCTGCATTTCACTCCAAGGAAACAAAAAAAAAATTGTTCTTTTTTTGTAATGGGATTCTGTTTATTTTAACTTAAAGGCGTTCCCGGCTGGCTCTGGTCCATTGGACCGTACTACTTATATGTTTACTTACACTAGTCCCCAACCAAATTCACCGGCTCTAGAAGAGTTACTAGAAGAATACTGGAAGTTGATGCCAGAATACCAGGTGAATCCTCTTCTCATCCAAACTTTCTATATCGTTTTTTTTCTTTTTCGTCTTATTTTAATAGTGTCGAGTATATTTTGGGTTGTAGGGAGTTTCTCTTGACGATTTGGAAATACTGAGAGTTGTATATGGGATATTCCCTACGTATAGGGACAGGTACGAATGTGTCCACATGAAATTTGTTATGGTTCTTCTTCGTTATCTATGGATCCTGAATCTCCCCGTAAGCATTCTACATTGGAGTTAGTCGGTTTGTGTTATAACTGTTTATCCATTCTTAACCATAGAAGATGCATCCATTACCATTTTGTTCTCAAGATTATGCAAATGTTATAAAAGGACATCCATCTTATCGGTAATGCTGAATCTTCTGAAAAAAGTTTGATGTTCTACCATTAGAAAAATAAGCTCGAGCAAGTATTAAAACCGTTGCAATAAAAATTCGGTATTTTTCCATTGTTATCGGACTGTACTCTTAACGATTATCTTACCCGGTGTCATACAATACATTGCTCTGTTCTAACATGTCTTAACCCTATTGAGCAAATCAAACAGCCCTCTCCGAGCAGCATTTGATCGTGTACTACAGGTGAGTATCGTTCACTTTCACATATACACTGCCGAGAATATACATTGTTCAAGAAACTGAATATCAAGATTCCTGTGGTTTTCTCTACTCTTTTGCAGTTCGGTGACGCTAGTGGCATTCAGTCACCTGTTTCATTCGGAGGCTTTGGAAGCTTGACCAGACACCTCGGAAGATTGTCCTCTGGTATTGCCATCTTCATCCCCGACTTTCTCACAACTCATTCCTGTATATATACTATATATATATATATGGGTCCTTCTATTGAGTTCTAATGAGAAAATGTGTGTTCTTGATCCAGCTTGTGGATTGAATAAACGTAATGCGGGTTTTTCAGATATTCCGATAATCTTTTGTCTGGATATAACAGGAATCTGTGAAGCCATAGACGGAGATTTTCTGGACTCGAACAGTTTGTCACTTCTGAATCCCTACATGGTAAAGCTTATGCTTTCGGCTCATCTTTCTCGGTCTCTGTAACGAACTCTAATTTCTCAGATGTCACTTTTCTTCTCGATGAAAAGCCAAACTTGAGCGCTTCATGGCTGTTTCAAAGAGCAATGTCTGCAAAACAACGACCCGAAGTCTCTCCCGGCTTCATCAACGAGCTTCTCCTCGTGAATTTCCAGTCCATGCAGGTAAAAACATTCTTTCCAATGGGAAAACCACACAGAAAAGGAAATTTCACAAAATTTGGGTTCCATTTTCAGCTTTTTAAGGAAATGATTCATCGTTGTCTTTGTAGAGATTGGGTGATCCGGTTCTCAGACCATTTCTTCAGGTCAATCAGAAACAACTCTTCTTCAATAGTCTTCAGTGTTGCAGAGCTGATTGTTATTGTTTGCATGATGGTTGGTCTTAATAGGATGTAATACAGTTTGGTCCTCTTGCCAAGACATTAGGCCTTGTCATGCTAACCAAACCTCGGATAATTCTACCGATATTCAGACAGGTATTGCGTTAATCTGAAACCCTTTTCTAACCCTGAAAATACAAATAAAGCATCGAAAATCTTTTTGTATATACAGTTTGTGAAATCTGGTTTCTTTACGATGAAACATCTACTTCAGGTTGGCATTCCT